CGGGCGGCGGGCGGCGGGCGGCGGGCGGCGGGCGGCGGGCGGCGGGCGGCGGGCTCCTGGGCGGCGGGCGGCGGGCGGCGGGCGGCGGGCTCCTGGGCAGCGGGCGGCGGGCGGCGCTCGGAGCTCTCGGCCGGAGGCGGGAGCGCGGGGCGCGGCGGCGGGAGGCCGCTTTATGGGCGGCGGCAGGTAGAGGCGGCGCTGGTGAGTCAGGCCGGGCGCATTCCTGCACGCGGTGCACACCTGTCGGGGCAGGAGCGGGCGCAGCCGGCCCGCCCCTCCGGAAAGCACTGCGGCTCCGGCTCCGGCCCGGCTCCCGGACCCGGGCGGCGTGGCCGGGGAGGAGCCACCCTGAGCTCCAGTCCTGCCCGGGCGGCGCGGCCCTCCCACCCCTCCCGCTCCCGGTGCTGGGGCGGCCCGACGGCAGTGAGCGGGCACCACGCCCCCTCCTGTGCCAGCGCAGGGGCGGGCCCAGAAACTGTCCCAGCCGGGTCTGCCCTTCGCTAGGTTCTCCCGTCCCCTCCCGCCCAGCCTCCACGTGTGTCCAGAGGGCGGTCAGCTAGGACGAGGGCCCCCAGGCAACCACTCAAACCTCCTTCCCTGGTGAACCACCACCACCCAGAGGCCAGCGCCCGCGATCGCTGCAGTTCTTCACGTGCTGGTTCACACACCTGCCCTCCCGCCTCCCCCTGCCCTCTCTCCGGGGCTCCAACAAAGCTGGAGCCTCCAGGCTGGCCAGACCCCACCGTCTATTTCTCCAGCCCCACCCGCCAACAGTGCCACTCTGCAGGTCTCTGGCAGCCCGGCCGCACCCTGCCGCTTCCGGCCACCACGCTGGTCCCAAAGGACCTGCCTGAGGTCTCTCTTCTCCACTGGCTGGACCCTGAGGAAGGGCGCTCTAGCACATCTCTCTGTCCCCAGCTCCTCGCACAGTCCGGCACGTGTGGTGCTCCCTCAGGCGAGCAGTGCTCCACCCCGGGGTGGCCGAGCCCAGGCGGTTTGCTACGCGGCCTCCCCCAGCCTCAGGGCTCTTGTGGGTCAGTGATGGTGGGAGCAGCTGGGAGCCACTGCCCAGCCGCCTCTGAGTGCTGCCCTGCACGGGCATTCGGCAGGCTGGCTCTGGGCTGGGAACACTGCGGAAGGAGCCCGCTTGGTGGCGGTACTCAGGTCTAAGACAAGCCCCCGGTTCCCAGGTTTCTGGGAGTCTGGAATGTCCTAACCTGGAGTCTGTGTGTGGACCTGGGGGCGGGTGAAGGGATGGTGGTGTCTGTGAACCATCTGAGATCATGTGCAAAACTCCAGGCGTGCCGAAACCGGTTTGGCTCAGTGGTAGAGCGTCGGTCTGCGGATCGAAGGGTCCCAGGTTCGATTCCGGTCAAGGGCATGTACCTTGGTTGCGGGCACATCCCCGGTAGGGGGTGTGCAGGAGGCAGCTGGTCGATGTTTCTCTCTCATCGACATTTCTAGCTCTCTATCTCTCTCCCTTCCTCTCTGTAAAAAATCAATAAAATATATTTTAAAAAAATTAAAAAAAAACAAAAAAACTCCAGGCGTAGCCCTGGCCGGTGTGGCTCAGTGGATAGAGTGTCGGCCTGCAGACTGAGGGGTCCCAGGTTCGATTCCAGTCAAGGGCATGTACTTTGGTTGCAGACACATCCCCAGTAGGGAGTGTGCAGGAGGCAGCTGATGGATGTTTCTCTCTTATGAAGTTTCTAACTCTCTATCCCTCCTCTCTGTAAAAAAATCAATAAAATATATTTAAAAAAAAAACAAAGGAAAACCCCAGTGTACGTGGTATAGGGGATGTGACTGGCTGGGAAGGGGCCCTTAGTTTACTTGTATTCCCAGCTAGGTTACTGGCCCCAAGGGGGTTAAGAATGACTGCGTTCCATATTCATTCGATACAAAATAAGACCTGCCTGTTCCGCTCGCAGGCCACAGGGCCAGCGTGAGGCCGGCGTGCAGGGCCCACCCTCGGGGCTCTGCCAGGACAGGGCTCCATACCGCCACTCCCACTGCCCCGCACTCCCACGGGGCCCGGCAGGCCAGGCCAGAGCACCCATTAGTTCAATCCCTTATTCATGTTACATGTGAACAGTTTGGGGGCAGTGCCAACCGCCCCGTCTGAGGGAGAGGCCTCCAAGGTGGACAGTGGCTAGGACTGGTCTCTCCGAGGGCCAGGGGTTGCCAGTAGACACCCTTTAAGATGATAATTCCCCCAACTTTACTTTGAATATTTTCAAATATGTAAAAAAGTTGAAAAGAGTATAAAGACCATTTGCATTTTTACTACCTGGACCTAACCAAGAATTAACATTTTGTCATATTTATTTTGTATGTTTGTCATGTATTACTTTATCCCTCACCCTCACCCCCAATTAGCAATAACCATGCCTTGGATACACCTACGTTACTGTCACTGCTCAAAGCTAGGCATAGATTTTTCTATTTGAATTTAAGATATCATGACATTCTCTCTCCACACTCCAAATGTGTGTCTGGTTCCCTATACAACCACAGTAACTTTATCACACCTAAAAAAATGAACAAGAATGTCCTAATATCGGACTCAATCCTTTTAAAAATTTCTTAGTTGTCCCCAAACTGTTGTAATGATTTCCTTTTGAATTAGCATCCACCCCATGGCACCCATTTCGACTGCTTTCTCTCTCACTCTAAAACAGCACCTGCCCCCATTGACCTTAAAAGCCAGCTGACCTGCAATGTCCCTCTGTCTGGATTTGTCTGGTTGATTCCGCATGGTGTCACTGGGCTTGGTTTTTTTAGCCTCCTGCAAACTGGAAGTTACATCTAAAAGTCTGATTAGATTCAGGTGAAACATTTAAAATATATATTCTTATTCATTTCAGAGAGGAAGAGGGAGAGAAACATCAATGATGAGAATCACTGATCGACTTCCATTTGTTCACGTCCTTTTGCCCATCCGGGGTGTGCCCTCCCTCTGGGCCTGTGTCCTTGACTGAAATTGAACCCAGGACCCTTCAGTCCGCAGGCCAACGCTCTATCCACTGAGCCAAACCGGCTAGGGCCAGGTGAAATGTTTTTGGCAAGAGGGGTCTTAGGTTGTGACAGCCATCAGTCTTCTTTGTAGAAAATCGTTTTTCACTTGGTGATTCAGAAGTAATCTAGAGCAGGGGTCGCCTTGTCACCCTGCCCGGTTTCCTGTTACTCTCAACGAAGGATCCACTATCAATCCTTGCCTGGATTGTTCTTTTGACGTTGCAGAATTGTGACTTTCTGTTTCTACATTTAATAGGAGGCATCCTTCTGATAAAAAAAAAGAGAGGTTCCCTTCATCAACAGGGGATGAACTATGTGCCTCCAAAAACACAGGGGGAATGTTGCTTTTATTTTTTTTTTTTTGTTAAAAAAAAAAAATTTTTTTAAATCCTCACCAGAGGATATTTTCCCATCGATTTTTAGAGAGTGGGAGGGAAAGACAGAAACATTGATGAGGGAGAAAAACATTGATTGGCTGCGTCCTGCACAAGCCCCAACCAGGTGGGGAGGAGCCTGTAACAGGCATGTGCCCGTCAGAATTGAACCCGGTACCCTTTGGTATCCGCTGAACCAAACTGACGAGGGCAGTGGTCAGCAAACTCATTAGTCAACAGAGTCAAATATGAGCAGTACGATTGAGATTTCTTTTGAGAGCCAAATATTTTAAACTTAAACTTCTTCTAATGCCACTTCTTCAAAATAGACTCGTCCAGGCCGTGGTATTTTGTGGAAGAGCCACACTCAAGGGGCCAAAGAGCCACAGGTGGTTCTCAAGCCCGTTTGCCGACCATGGGGCTAGGGGTAAAAGTTTTTTTAATTACTATTACAAAGCAACCCAATTAAAAAAAAATTGCCATCTTATTTTTTAAATGTATAGTTCAATAGGTTAAGTATATTCACATTTTTGGGCAACAGATCTCCAGAACTTTCTCACAGAAACTTTATGCTTATTAAACAGCCCCTGGGTACTGTTCCGTCTGCCTCTTTGACTTTTACTCCTTTGGTAAAGCTCCCTCCTGAACGTGGAATCACACACGCGTGTCTGTGACCGGCTTGCTTCTCCGAGCACCGTGTCCCAGGTTCCCAGCTGGTGTGGCAGGGTCAGATTCCTCTTCTCCAGGCAGAGTAAGGTCCCCTGTATGTCTGGGCCACTCCTGTTCACCCACGGCCTTCAGCGGAGCCTGGTTGCTCTCGCCGCTGGGACACTGTGACTATGGAACTTCGAGCCCTGCTTTCCTTTGGGACATATACCCCAACGTGACTGAGGAACCACATGGCAGCCCCATTTATTCGAGGCCCCATGGTCCATCGCAGGGGCCCCTGGTGGAGGCTGCAGGGGCAGGGGAGGGAGGGGAGACGGCAGGGCAGATGCACCTAAGAGCACGTTAGGGGCACTTCCCGACCGCTGCCCCAGGGGAGCAGGGGGCTCTTCACAGCCCGGAGGGAGACGTGGCAGAGAGCGAGAGGCATACGGGCCCCAGGTTGGCGGCGGCTGGGAAATGTTTTGGCCCCAGAGGAGCCGGCGCTGCCAGGGGCGCTGCCAGGGGCTGCTGCGGGGCAGAGATAACAGCTCAGGAAGGGCGGGAGGCGGATCCTCCCAGGAGCCGGGGCTCCTGTAAACAATGAGCCGCCAGGAGGTGATTCATCCCGCGCACCAGGCAGTGCTGGGGGTGCCCGGGACCTGCGGCCGGGAGCCCAGGCTCTGCCCCTCCCTGTGGGCGGGACCCACCCAGCCCTCCTGGGAACTGGCTGGACTCTCAAGTGTGGGTGTGTCCAAGGGGCCCGGAAGCTCAATCACCCCTGAGGGAATGGCAGCCTCCGCTCCGGTATGAGAACTGGCGGTTTTGGAAGCGGGACAGCAGGCAGCAGCCACACGGGGCCTCACCCCTGTCTGGCCACCCCTCACCACGGAGGAACAGCCCCAACCGGAAGACGGAGAGGGCACTGAGCTCCGTGTTCGCCTGCACACAGACCGCAGATCCAGAACACAGCACTTTTAATGGGGCGCGGACCCGGGCGGCGGGGGGACCCTGTCCACAGCCCACGCCTCTGCTGCAGCCTCCTCTGGCGGAGGCCACAGAGGCGCCCTGGGGCGGCCGCTGGGAGCGGTCCCAGTCCTCACACCCCCCGCGGGCGGCATCACGCAGTCTCATCTCTGACCAAGCCCTGGGGCGGCTGCCCTCGAAGGGAAGGAGTGTCCGAGCCGCCCAGCTGGTGCCGGGTCACTGCTTGGCCTTCTTCACGATGGTGCCCACGGCGGAGATGACGGTGGTCTTGGAGCCGCTGGCGCTGGTGGTCACGGTGACCACGGCGGGCAGGGTGGCCGTGGTGGTGAGGATGGTGGGCTGGGCTATGGTGGTCACGGGGATGGCAGAGTCCCACTTGCTCTTTCTCTTCTGAGCGTCTGGAGACAGAGCGGAGAGGAGTCAGGACCAGACAACCACACAGCACCGCCTCCCAGAGCCAGCGGCCGGGCGAGGGCGGCACCTCAGGGCGGCCAGGAAGCCAAGGGCCGCCCGGGACCCGGGGAGCCGCCCGCCTCCAAGGCTGGCTCCCACCCCTGGGCTCAGACAAAGCACAGGGAGGGGGTGCGCGCCTGGGTCCCCGCGGCGCAGCAGGAGACAGACCTGCAACGGTGGTGCTGGCCGTGGTGGTGGTGGTGGCCGTGGTGCTGGTCGTGGTGCCTTTCTTGGTGCCCGTCACAAACTCGATCTGGAGGGGAGGAGGGGCGGGAGTAAGACCGGGCCACGCTGCGGGTCCCACCTTCGTGCCAGCCGTCTGCCCTGGGGGAGAGGCCTGTGGCTGGCATCTCACAGGCAGGCATTGAGAACCAGCGCCATCGTGACCGTGGGGGAGGGGAGGTGTTTGAGGCGCTGAAGGGGACGTTACTCCTCAGAGGAACACGCCAGGGGAACCCCTTCCCGCGCCCACCCCCATGCCAGGCCCTCTCCTCACACCCGCCAGGAAGGGTGCCGGGGGCTCAGGGGAAGGGAGCTGGGACCCCAGGAGCTGCGCACAAGCCTGGGCTCGGAAGGGGGAGGGAAAGGAGAGGGAATCTCAGTCCAGGGCTAAGACGGCCCAGCACAACCTCCAGAGGCCGCCAGCAGCCCCTCTGCTGGGGGCCGAGCCCGAGCTTTCCTTCGGAGACTCTGGCCACAAAGTGCTGGAGGACATGGGGGCTCCCCGAAGGTCCCTCCTGCTTGGGAAGGAGCAGGCTCAGGGCCCGAACGTGAGGGGTCACCTGGCCATCAGACGAGGGGCCTACAGGGAAGCACTGGGTGCCACCGAGGTCGGCTCTGGAGGCCACGCAAGGCACTGCCAAAGCTCTCAGGAGGAAACACTGGCCTCCATTCAGGCCAGGAGGACACTGATGGCCCCACAGAGAGCCACCAGGGCTCTGCAGCTGCAAAGGGAGGGGCCGGAGGGACAAGGCAGCAACGACAAGATCCAAGAAACCAAATGGAAGTAACTTCAAGCTGAGGGCGGCGGGAAAGCAGGAAGGCCTGTCCCTCCACAGGCACCACTAAGGCTGCTCCGAGCGCCCCCAAGCAATGAACCTGGGGGGAGGGGGTGCGGACGGGAGAGCAGCCCGGAGCCTCGGGGCCCAGGCAGCAGGACCCACAAGCTCCACAAACACTTCCCCTTCCCCCCAGGACCCGTGCCTGCCCTTACTTTGGTTCGCTCCTTTTTGGCCTTTTCCAGTTTGTCCATTTCCACCTTCTGGGCTTTGGCTGCAAAGACAAGAGCAGCTGTCACAGAGGCTCCCACACTCTGGGCCGCGGGCCTCAGCCCAAAGGCCCAGGCGCGCACGCGCTGACTCTCCGTGTGGGAATACAGGAGGCCCAGCGTGGACCACCTTCCCAGTGACCTCGAGAAGCGGGGGTTACGGTTTTTGAGGTAGAATGTTGTCAGCTGTTCAAGTTAAAGCAAGACAAGATCTGTGTGTGTGGGCCACACAAAGCCCGTCTGCAGGCCGGGGCTGGTCCACGGCTGCTGTTTGACACCTGTCACTTGAGGGCATGGACCCTCTGAAGCTCCTCCCCGTGCCCCTAACGGGCCCCCTTGGGATAAAGCTGTGCTCTCGCGGCCTCACAACACGCCACCCCCCTGCCTGCGACCCGTCTCCATCTGCTGGGCTGGCCTTGGCATCTTCAACCTCTGCTTGGCCGTTTCCTCAGTGCCAGCCCCTGGCCTGGTCAGGGCCCTGCCTGCACCCCCTCGCACAGCCGCACAGCTGGAATTCCCCTCAGCCCTCTGGTTTGAGTCATAAGTCTCCGAAGCCAGGGACGGGCCTGCCTGGTTCAGGGCTTACACCAGCTCCGTGGACAGGGACTAACAGAGGAGGCCTTGAAACGCATGTTGCCTGGTGACTGAATGACTGCACGGACAGACGAACAGATGGAGGGACAGATGGGTGTGCAGGTGGACAGACAGACAGATGACTACTTACTTAATGCCTCGTAATAGGAGTCCTCAGACCAGCCATGGGGGTCAAACATGTCCTGAAAAAGACAGGTTAACACCGGTCATAAGGGCCATCTCTCCCCGCAGCTCACCTCCGTGCGCGGGACGTACCTTCGGGTAGTTGGTGCCAAGCTCATCAATGGCACAGAACTGGATCAGCTTCTCGTAGATGCTGAAAGAAGAGAGAGGCCCTGAGCAGGCCCGTGGCCCTGGGGGCGCCAGAGTAAGAGATCACCACCACCCAGCTCCTGGGCTCAGACAAACTAAAAACCCAGCGGGACTGTTCTCAAGCTTCCCGGCGGGCAGGAAGTGTGCGCGGCCTGACACGACCAGTCGTTTCTGCCGCCACTCTCTCGGGATGCACGGCTCGCCAGGGGCTGGGCTGAGCGGCTGCGTTTGTAAGGTCTGACCCGGACATGTGTCCTCCAGCTGTGGCCGGATTGGGGCTACCACACTCAGGCCCACACAAAGGCCTGGGCAGGTCCCTGCTGCCGCCACACCACTTTCCCAGGGTGCCGCTCGCTCCGGCACCGGGCGGTGTAAGGCCAGACAGCTCTGTCCTAAAGCCTTTACCCACATAGGAACCAGGGACTCCTTAGAGGTGACAGAAGAACCCACAATGGTCTAGGCCAGTGGTCAGCAAACTCATTAGTCAACAGAGCCAAATATCAACAGTACAACGACTGAAATTTTTTTGGAGAGCCGAAAACCGACTTCTGCGCATGGGCCATGAAGTTTCAATCGCACTGTACATGCGCACCGCACATAGTATTTTGTGCAAGAGCCACACTCCAGGGGCCAAAGAGCCGCAGTTTGCCGACCACTGGTCTAGTCCAACCCCTCACTCATGGCCGAGGAAACCGAGGCCTTGTGAGGTCACGTGCTTCAGAAGCAGAGCAGGGATGAGGACCAAGCCGGGCCCTGTTCTAGGCCTGGCCTCTCGGCTCCCCCTCCACACGCCGGTTTATGTTCGGCCTGGACCAGAAGTGGTAAATGTCCCGCTGGGACGGCAGACTGGCTGATGGTCCTTTGGGCTCAGGTGGGATCCTAGCTGGGTCTCCCCTTGCCACATCCATGGGGCACCTCTGGTCCAACATCAATGACTCCACCAACCCTGCAGGCTCATGGGAAATGCACCTGGGGTTCCGGAACTCTTTCTTCCTTTGGATCATGTAGTTCATATCCATCCCCTCCTTCACCTTCCGCTCATACAGCTTCTGGATCTTGTCCTACGGAAGAGAAACAGGGCCCATGACCCCACCGAGCCCCGTGCCAGTCTGTGGTCACGTGGGCGATGTGGACACACGGACACAGGAGGCCTGCTCCAGCCAGTCTTCCTCCGCCCAGCCAGTTCAGCCGTGCCTTCTCCCGGTCCCTCTGCAGAGCGGTCGAGGGAGCAGCGAAAAGGCCAAGGCCGGGAAGCCACGGAGAGGGCCGTGGACAAGTGCCCACCTGGTCCGGCAGCTCCTGAGCCACCGCAGAGGAGTGTCAGGCACGAGGGGACGGTCAGGGGCTGGAGGCTGCTCTAATGCTAACACGGGGGCGAGTCCGCGGCGGGAGGCCAGCGGCTGCCCTTTCGGAGGAGGGCAGGATCTGGCCTCACACACTTCCAGAATGTCTCTGTGGGCCCCACCCCTTCATCGAGGGGCACCGGCAGGGGTGCGGTGCAGCTCACTGGTGAGAGGCGGCGGCGGGTGAGAACCCAGTGGATGTCCCTGGGGACGTGGGGAGAGGTGACCGAGGAGGCCCACCTTTCTGCCGTGGCCAGCGGAGCACCGAGGAGAGAGGAGCCGAGAGGGACAGACCTGAGTCTATGGCAGGGGAGGCAGGGAGGCCCATAGAAGGCCGGCCTGGGGGGCAGCCCCATCTTACAGGACTTTTGGGGTCTCCTGGGCCATAAGACGATTCCCCCATCTCCGGTGACTGGGAAGGCGTGCTGAGTCACTCTCTCTACCCTTAGGAGAAGCCAAGAGGAGAAACATCCTGGCTTAAGGCTGAGCGGCTGGCTGTGCCGGCGGCTGGCTAGACTGTCCTGACAGGCTGTGACTTGTTGCTTGATGTGGAGGTTACACTAGGCGTGGGGGTGGCGGGCAGGGGGTTGACGACTCAGCAGAGGGAGGAGACTTCCGGAAAAGGAAGAGAACCTTCGCTGCGAAGCCCCAGGCCGCTGCATTCCGCAGCCTGGGCCGTGAGTCACCCGGCCACGAGGCGCCAGGAGGCTGCGGGTCGAAGGCAGAGCAGCTAGCCCCGGGCCGCTATGCAGCGGCAGTGGGTGTCGGCCTGCTGTTTGTCACAGGTCCCACTCACCGGGGACCTGAAGAGCGACAACCGCCTCAGAGGCTGAAAAGCCGAAGCCCAGCTGTCCCCGAGGCGCTTCTCTCACTGCTCCACGTCCTCGGTCAGAGCCTCGCTCAGGCCTGAGAGACTACGGCCAGAGCTGGTGAGTGGGCATGGCTGGGCTACGAGCACGGGGGTTTTAGGCATAAAAAGGCGTTTTACATTTCTATAACTTTACGTTCTGAGCGTCCCTCGGCTTCTCAACGAAGTTCCTTCTGAAATGTTCTCATTGGCTCAGCGGGTTGCACAGAAAAGGTGTATCATCCTCTCTGTCTAGCACAGGACCTCACGGAGGGCCAGCCAGGGTGTTCCAGCCAGCGCAGCGCCAGGTGAGGTGGCGGAGGGTGGCAGTTAGTACACAGCAGCGCCAGGTGAGGTGGCGGAGGGTGGCAGGTTCACAGCAACTCCTGAGAGCGGTTGAGGGAGGTAACAGGGCCGCGACTCCCTCCCCCGGGCATTTCTCTTACAGAAGCTGTAGAAGCCAGACGCCTGCCCGGCCACAGCAGTCAGCGCGGTGCCTACCTGCAGGTGGTTGGAGCATCTGCCCGGAGGCTCTGGTGGGATCTTGATCTCATCAGGTGACATGTTCCGGACTCTTTCAGAAAAGGAGGCTGTTTGTTGAGAGAACAGAGGAAAATTCTGTAGGGAGGTGGGGGCAGGATAGGGGTTACACATGGGCAAAGGGGGGTATACCAGGCCAATGGGGGGAAAGCACGTGCAATGTTTTCAGGGAGGGATGAACGCCATGAAGTGTTCCGAGTAGCCTCTCAGAGGGCGGGGTCACCTGAGTTGAGGTCATGTGACCAGAAGGAGCAGCACGTGCCCACTCGGAGGAAGTGCAGGCGGAGGGTGTGAGGGTAAAGGATGCACGCCAACATGTCACAGCGGTGACTTTCAAGGCAAGAGTGTGCCGGGGGGTGCTGGCAAACGGGAAGTGGGGACAACCACTATCTGCAGGACCTGCCGGTGCCCGTGGTGTAAACTCTGCCCTGCCAGCGCCAAGCTACCAGTGAGAAGCCGCTGGGCCGGGGCCGGGGCTGGGGCCGGGGCCGGGGCCGGGGAGGGCCGTGCACACGGGCTCCCGCTGACTCCCGCCCTCCACCGCTGCGTCCTTAAAGCAGCCTCCCGGGTTCCGGAAACGCAGAGCTGCTTACTGCCACCCTTCTCACCCTAAGATAAAGGATAAAGAGGAGCCGAAGCCGGTTTGGCTCAGTGGATAGAGCGTCAGTCTGCGGACTGAAAGGTCCCAGGTTGGATTCCAGTCAAGGGCATGTACATTGGTTGCAGGCACATCCCCAGTAGGGGGTGTGCAGGAGGCAGCTGATCGATGATTCTCTCTCATGGATGTTTCTAGATCTCTCTCTCTCTCCCTTCTTCTCTGTTAAAAATCAATAAAATATATTTAAAAAATATATATTAAAAAAATAAAATAGCTGAAACCGGTTTGGCTCAGTGGTAGAGCGTCGGGTCTGTGGACTGAAAGGTCCCAGGTTCGATTCTGGTCAGGGGCATGTACGTTGGTTGCAGGCACATCCCCGGTAGGGGGTGTGCAAAAGGCAGCTGGTCGGTGTTGCTCTCTCGACATTTCTAGCTCTCTATCTCTCTCCCTTCTTCTCTGTAAAAAAATCAATAAAAATATATTAAAAAAAAAAAATAAAATCATCATATACTATTAAAAAAAAAAAAAGATAAAGAGGGCACGAGGCTCCCGGATGTGGGGACTCCAAGTACTCAAAGCTCCTTTGTGCATAAAAGGCATTAAAAAAATTATGTCAGAAATTAGCTTGGGGTCTTTAAAAAACAAACACATGGACCAATCGGCCCTCTTTGGTCCACCTCATTCCTGGGAACAAAAGGCCTGATTCTGAAGTGGAGAACCACAACTCCCGAGGGACCATTCCCTGGGAGACCTGCCACTGCCCACCCAAGGCCCTCTCCCCACCCCCATTCCTCTCCCGCAGGCCGCAGTCCCGCTCTGGATCGCCCAGACAATGCCCTGCTTGTTGGAGGTCTGTCTGCGTGTGCTCTTTAGAACACTCGCTCATGAAAAGGCCCATACAATGAGCAAAACAGCCGGCGGAGCGGGGTGGGGCAGGATGAAGAGAAAGAATGAACAAAAAGCACCAGCAGCACCCACTGGGACCCTCTGTGTGCCGGCGCCCAGTGGCTGCGCTCTGCCTGGGGGGCTGGCACCGCCGCCCCTTCTCCAGGGCCGGGGGAAGACGTGTCTTAGCAGACAGGGTGCTTTGATTTCCGTTGTTACTGTGAAGAACTCGGTGCTGATAAGTTGAGGGTATGGCTTGTTGGCGTAACCAGTTTCAGGGGTGGCAGAACACGCCCGCACACACTGCCAGCACCGAGACTGGGCTCAGCCAGGGCGGGGTGTCCCCTCTCCGCGTCTCAGTGGGCCGCCCCAGGTGCCCACCGCCCAGGAGCCGAGCACTAGGGCTGCCACGTGGGCGAGGACAGGACGCGCTGGGTGACGTGCTGCTGTGGGCCCTCGGAGCCGTTTCCATCAGGAAACCCCGCGCTCCTCTGCCCAGCACCTCCCTGCCTCCAGGGTGACACCCAGACTGGCTGCCGTTCAAACTCATCCTGACTCCCCCTCCTCCCCACCCTGGAGAAACAGAGTTCGAGGGCCCAGATCCAAGGCTGCAGAGTGGAGCCGGAGGGAACGGCTGGGTGAGCTGGGCCTCCGATTTCCTGAGCATCAGCAACAAGCGCGGGCAGGGCCCGGGCAGGCTGCGGGCACACGGCAGGGAGGGGCAGGCTCTTCCTGGCGGAGCGCGCCCATGTGCACGTGACACACAGACAAAGAGTGCCCTTTGGCATTTTCCAGGAAACCTTCAGGAAAACAGGGTGTGACAGAGTTGCCATAGCAACCCAACCACTCTTGGGCTCAAATGGTACACAGCGTGGCAGGGGCAGGGAGAGCCCCTCCGGAGACGCTGGGTTAGAACAAGAGAATTTCTAGGAGGCAGCTGGCAAATGAAGCCATACGTTCAGGAAACGAGGTAAAGGTTATCCCTTCGATTTCAGGAGCAACCTTTCAGCAATTCATTCCTAAGTCCTAGGGTGACTCCAAAGAAAACACCAGACCCATCTATGTGGCTGTCTGCGTGGCCGGAGCCTCCATTTCCCCAGAAGACACACTGAGAAACGTGCCCAGCATTGGGGGACGAGGGGGGGGGCAGCCATGTCTGGCTCCTCCTAGGTCTGACAGGCAGCCACACTCGGGATCTGAGAAGCTTGTGACTTACCCCCGTGCACACCCAAGTCATGAAACAGCGATGGCACCCATAGTTGGCAGGTGCCCATCTAGCGGGGGCAGCCAGTCAGCTGGCTTAGTACCAGGGAGGGAAGGGTGCCTGGCAGGGACTGTGGGCTGTGGGCAGGAGGCACTAGCTCACAAGTGACATGAAGAACATCACCCGGGTGCCATGGTGCCAGGCACGCCCATGGGCATCGGTGGCACCTGGAGGGGACGGAGAGTGTGCTCAAGCAGCTGGAGAGACCGATAGGTCAGCTCTTTGCGGTCACTTGCTCCGTTACACCCAGGCTGTCCAGAGATGAAATGCTTTCTCACTAGGGGAGCACCGAGTCCCCCATCCAGAGGATGGACAAAAGGAGCGGGAACGGGCACTGTGTCCAGCTGTGTCTCCTCAGTGTGACAGGGTAACGGTGATCAAAACAATGAGGCTCACAGATCTGTGTCCCCTGCAGGTGAATGGATCACAGCAATGGTGCAGACAAAACAATGAAAACAATGAAAACAAATAAAATGGTGCAGACAACAAAACAACAAAAATAAACGTTCCCCTGAAGGGAACGCCTGGCACCGTCTGGAAACATTTCTGACGGTCACACGGGGGCTGGAGGGGCAGTTCTATGGAATCTAGTCCAGAGCCCAGTGATGCTCACACTGCCCGGTGCACAGGCCAGGCCCCACAGCACGTTATCCAGCCCCCAAGCATGGACAGTGCGAGGCTGAGAAGCCTGACCGTGACCTTCCCGAGGAGGAAAGCCCCCGAGAAGAAAGGCCTCTGCTGGCCTGGGCCGAGGGAGGGGCCGAGCGGACATTCCGGATCCAGAGGGCCCTGTACCATGTCTGTGGGCAGCACCATTTGAAATGCACCAGATGGCACCTTAAACCTCGGTACAGCTATTTTCTCAAAGTGGTGAGCAGAGAGAAGTGGAAGTTGGTGTGGACAGGGCTGACGCCCACACACATTCCACTGGAGGACACTGTGGCCTCGGGCTCCTGGCTGGGCTGCTCTCTGACCCCACCGCCCACCCCCCTCGTTTCTTGGTAACAAGCAAAGACGATGGGGCGCAGGAGGGGCTCCAGTCACACCGGGAGGCCACGGGCATCCTGGCAGGGGCTGCTTTTCCTCTGCCACAAAGCCAGCCAGTGCCCCTACCGCGCCATTTTCTAAAGAGCAAACCCTAAGGCCTTAGGAAGGTGTGACTGTCACAGGATTTGAAGGACTCACACTCCATCAGAGAACTCGGAATTAAGGGCCACTCAGAGTGGTCACGTTCCTACCCAATCCTTCCTCAGAAGACAAACAGGAATGACGTTCAGTTCTGCCAGGAGGAAACCAGAATGGGTCCCCCCCTCCCCCCGTGAAGGGTCCTGTCGGGGGAAGGACAGAGGGAGGGCACCCGGAAGCAGTGCTCCCAGCTGTGTGAGAGTCAGCAGGCAGAGAGGGGCCGCCACGGGGAGGAGCGTCCAGCCCCCGGTGAGGCTGGCTGGGCTGCGGGAGAGCAGGTACGCAGTCCAGGCCACGCCGAAGGAGCTAAGGGGCTTGCAAAAGGATTAGGGGGCTGGAGTTTAACAGACCTCGATGCCATTTCCCAGAAATGGAACGCCCTGTCCTTCAGTCACAAAGGCTCCCGCACTCCAGGCCTGGGGAGCGTGCTCTCCCCCGGGGACAGAGCCAAGTGCCAGCAGAGGCCGCGTGTCCGCTCCCTGAGCACATGAATGTGCCAGCAGAGGGCGAGAAGGGAGTACAGGGACGGAGGACGGGCCCAGGGGAACGAGCTCCCGGCTGAATGGGGCCCGAGTCCCCCTACAGCACTGGCAACTGACCAGAGCCAGTGAAACACACGTGACTGTGATTTCCAAAGAAGAATTGTTCTGGGTGTCTTACCCGGACATTTAGGAAATGCCAAAGGCCCTGAGAGAGAGGAGGAGAGACCAGGATCACAGCAGAGGGGCCGTGCCCACAGGCCCCGGCAAGGCCCAGCTCTGAGCTGCCTGGGAACTTACCAACTAATTCCTGCGGATCCCGCTTTTCTACTTCCGGGTTATCCTGCAAAGACAAACAGACACAGGAGTAAGCCTGGCTCCTGCCCCACGCTGCTTTACGCAGAGACCACTCAGGAGATCGAGGAAGGAAAAAAGGTGAAGGCATCCTAAGAGTGAGCGATGCTGGGGGGAGGGGCTTTGGGGATCCCTGACCCCCTTCTTCCTTCATCAGAGCAGCTGGGATGCTCACGTCGCCTGCTTCAGCCCCTGCTCATAGCCTCCAGCAGGCACCAATACCACCACGACGGAGACCAATGGCAGCCAGTGTCCCCCGCACACCGGGACCCTCCCGATGCCGTACCTGGCCAGTCACCCGAACACGGCTGCCCTGACCTGCCTGCCACTGAGGAAGCAAGAGGGGGGCTACTTATAACATGAAATACCAACACTGAGCACAGAAGACTAGCTACTCCGAAGAGATTTTTCTAACTTTTAGTTTAAGGGGAGATTCGTCACAGCGGGCAGCCCCTGGAACCCGGAGCGGGCAGCCCCCGGAACCCGGAGCCGGCACGGATGGCCTCTGATCAGTGACAACCAGAGTGCAACCCCGGCTCTTCTGCTCCCCTCGGCTCTTTCCCGCCGGCTTTTATTCCCGCGAAGAAAAGCTCTCTGACCTTCATGCAAACTGCTGCCCCGACACCCACTTCCACGGCCCTCGGTTGTGGGCGTGCGCAGACCCTAAGAGCGGAGGTCTGAACGGGTCTGCTAGCCTGGCTGTGCCTTCCCACTGGGCCTCGGCTTCCCGCCCCGGCCTACGGGGCAAGAGGCCCAGCCTGTCCCACACGTACCCGGCAGGGACCCGCCTCTCCATTTCTGGGGAAACTCAGACCCGACAGGCAGACTGGGGGCCTCGAGTGCCACCACCCGCCACAGGGGCAGAAGCTGGGCTCCCGGAAGTGGCTGGACCCCCGTCCTTTCGCTCTGGTCGGTGAGGGAGGGGAGAAGCAGCGAGGGCTCCGGGCACGGCCGCACGTGGAAACCGCGGCAGAGCCCTGCACTCCGCTCACGAGGAGACCTCACTCCGAGACACCGTGCCAGAAAGTGGGGTGCGGGAGGCCTCACCGCCCTCGCCTGGTCCCACGCTGAGGCCAGAGGAGACCCCAGCCCCTTCCCCCCAAAGTCCTCCTGAGTGTGGGGCGGGCCCAAACCGCCCACTCCCCTGAACACTGCGGCTGCCACCGGACCGGCACCGGGTCCGGCCAGGCTGCTTAGCAACCTGCTTCCCCGCCTCTCACCCCGCCAATCAGGTGGGCAAAGAGGAAGCCGGCCTGCCATGCCAAACCCAGGCTGGTCATCCATCACTGCTCCGCGGACAGTGCCAGCCTGCAGGGCCCCACAACAGCCCCTTTGTGGAGGGCTCCGAGGCAACAAATGCTGAGAGCGTGACAGTAACTAATGGGGGCAGCCTTCTGGGGGCTCATTGTGGGAAAATATCAGCTGGGCACAGCCACCTCTTCCCTGGCCACGGCCGGTCACAGGAGTACTGACCGCTGCCATCCAGGCCGCCTGGCTCTTCCCAAAGCCCCGATGCAGAGCCAGGCGGCCAGCTGTCGTGAGGAATTGTGAGAATCCTGGGCGCCTACTCCAGAGGCACAGGAGGCCAGTCCCAGACGAGTCTCTTCAAAGGTCTACTCCGGAGGCCCCCAGGCAGGTGGAGGCCCTGCGCCGCCCGTGGCTTCTGTGGGTTTGCGATCAGAGCATGGGAGGCGGGAGGCGGGAATCCCGGCATTTCACAAGGTCCGGGCCTGGCTTAGCTGAGGCGGCTTCGTCTTTCTGTTTGTGGCTTGGCTCCCCTTCCCCCCAAACTAATCACTCCGCTCCCACAAAATAAAAACAGCTGGTTTCAATGTGCCAACTAGTCTAGTCTTTGTTTTACCCTCACAAAATGTTCATGTGCAAACACACACACACACACACACACACACACACACACACACACGATGTGTGCCCTGAGCCCCTGGAGCTCTGGACTCTAACTCACAACCCCATGTCCCCAGGAACTTCTCCGCAGGAGTCCAGCTCCACGGTCACTCCAAGCAAAGGACCGGCCAGCGGGCGTGGACCAATGCCAAGTGCGAGAAGACTGTCCTCCTTACCCGTCGGCCAAACGTGTAAATGAGCCTCCACAGGTGAGAAGCCACAATTCCGCACGAACTCGGGTTGTGCGGATTCCCCGTTTGTCACAGGCGGCAACCGATGGGAACCTGCGCCTGAGGCCACAGCTTGTCCCGTTTCAGAAGGTAATTCTTCCCGGCACGTGTCACCGAACCAGCGTGTCCCCGAACAAGGACACCAGCAACCCGAGTTCTCTGGACCCTAATGCTGCTTACCCCACCCCTGCCTGCGCCCGAGAAGGCAAGGCCTGAGTGTGCCCACAGCCCGCCCTGCAGCCATCGGCATGCGCTCTGCACCCAGCAGGTCCAGGCCTTCGAGCGACGAGGAAGGAGCCGGAGTGTCTGGAGAGAGCGGTGAGGACAGGTGTCAGACACCCAAACTATGCGCCCCAGAACCATCTACGCACCACCGGCCTCTGAGGTCAGCTTCAGCCTCGGGGAGGGCAGGACTGGGGTGCGTGAGGGTGGCCACACGCAGGATGAAGACAGGAGACAGCCTCCTCCCAGGCACGGCCAGCCACGTACCAGGGATTCAGTAAGGGAAGGACCAAGCGCCCACGACAGCGATCTGGGCAGCCAGCCTGGTGTCAGGACAAACATGCGACAGTGTTTCAACGACAGACAAAAGTTCACGCTCTTCAACTGTCGGGAGTTCACGAAACCGGTCTGACAAAGGCTGCCGCCGGGCGAGCCTGCGCCCTCACGCGGGCAGGAGGGGGCAGTGAGGGGTACCGTCAAGGGCAACAAGGAGCCACTGTTCCCTCTTCCTCTTGCCCAAGGCAGGGTTTCGAAACGCACACACACCTGTCCTGACTTGTGCGCGGGGACGGCCGCGGACTGGATGGATCCGCCTCCGGACCCGCAGGAGACACTGCCGCTGGTCAAAGTCTGAGCTCAGTCTGGAGACCCATCCCAACCCGTGTCTGTGCCAGCGGGGAGGGAGGGGCCGAGACTGGACAGACCTGGCCACCAGCCGCGCTCTCAGACACAGGGGGCCGAGGCCTCCCCAGGGCACGAGGAAGGTGAGAACAAAGCACTCACCTCGCGGCTGCTGGAGGAAGCCCAGGTGAACAGCCTCAGCTGTAGTCCCAGTCCAACTCAGACACCAGGAAAACCAAACAAAGCCCACAGCCCCCTAAGCAGCCAAGAGGACGAGGAGTGAGAGCACTCGGAGGCAGACCCCTCATCTGTCTACCGCCAGCCTCCCCAGGCTCCCGAGCCTGAGCCCACAGGCGCGAGGCTGCACAACAGGCCCTGGAGAGCGGGGATTCGAACCTGCTAGACTTTGGTTCTCAACCAATCGTGTCTGAGACTTGTAAGAACAATATCCCCAGCAGGGGTCTCATGCTCAAGACAGGACCTGGACGTGGCGCCCTGCAGAGAACACAAAGTCCAGCGGCCACTGAGGCTGAGGCAGAGGACGGGGTGGGGATGACACGCCCCATGAAGCGGGCCAGGCTGCGAGCTGTGAGGATGGGCTCGGGATGGGTGCAGAGCAGGCCCAGCAGAGGGACGGAGGGTTATTTGCAGCCATGATTCACCAGTCCTTCCCGGAACCTGCCCCACAGAGCACACTCAGAGGTCCAGGGTCCAACTCAGACAAAGCAGCCAGCCTCAGGCAGCTCCACTGGGGTGTGCCAAGTCCAGCTCCTCGGCCTTGGGAGCCTCAGGCAGAGAAAGCTGGGCACAGAGGGCAGCCCCGCCCCGCCCCCAGGGTAAGGAGGACACAGACTGCACCTTTTTCTGTTGGGTAATGTCATCGGAGTCTCCCGAGTAGGAGCGGCTGGAGAGGGAGATTGGTAAACAATGCCTTCCAAACTGTGCTCACACCGGGGCTGCCCAAGGCAGTCCTCAGAACACCTCACTTCACGAGCAGAGCACCTAGTTTAGGATTTCACAGCCAGCTTCAGCTACAGAGCAGAACCCGGTCCTCCCCGGACTCCGAACTGTTCAAGTCCATTCTACTCTCACGGTGCGGACTCAGCATCAGAAAGGGAGGCGGCAGAAGAGGACTAATAAAGGGGCTGGACTGGCAGAAGGAAGGGGGAGGCATCAACACTGAGCTGGAAAAACTTACATCAAGCCTGGTATTCCTAATCCTAAAACAAAAAGACAGAATTATCACATAGTTAACTCACTTATCTTCTCCACAAGTAATCAGTGAGCATTTATTACAGACCAGGCAATGGGCAAACACTGGGGATGGAATATAAACAAAGCTCAACCGAGGGGATGATTGCAGGCACGATGCTAAGCACTCAATTCTCACAACCACCATGAAGGTGTGGCCACAATGCTGCTGCTTCAGAGGACCAAGGGGCCTGCAAAGGCATCACAATGACAGCCAGGGCACTTTTCTGAGATGGGAGTCACCTCATGTTGCCAAGAAAGCAGAAACTGGTCTGGCTGGTGTGGCTCAGTGGCTGAGAATTGACTTATGAACCAGGGAGGTCAGCGGGGTTCCCGGTCAGGGCATATGCCCACGTTTGGGCTGGATCCCCAGTAGGGGTATGTGTAGGAGGCATCTAATCGATGATTAGATGATTCTCTCATCATCGATGTTTCCATCTCTTTCTCCCTTCCTCCCTGAAATCAATTATATATACACATATATAATCAATTTTATACACACACACACACACACACACACACACGGCAGAAATTCTGGAACCTTTGTCTCCAAGCCCCAGAACAAAATTATTGCAGCCTGACAGACAGGATGGAGAGCTGTCAGTAACCCCAAGGCTCTGAGGAAGTCCCCGAGACCAGTGCTGCTCCGGAGAAGGCCGTCACCAGCACATTTCCTTCAGTTGTATCCTGTGGGCCCGGGCGGGCCACTGCCATGGCCTGCTGCCTGCCTGGGATGGAAACACTCAACTTACAGACAAAT